CCATTCTGACATTCAGTTTGGAGTTCAGGAGATTGTCTTGACCAGGACCACACCCCTGAAACACATTGAGGGGAACATGCAGGAACAAAGGCAATGCAGCACATATGCACAATGAACCAATGAGGAACAGAGCAAGGGCAGGCAGATATAGGCTGTGTCCGAATTCAGAGGTGGCATCTTTCTAAGGCTGCATTTGAAGACTGAACGCATCATGGCAGTGGGACATGGTTGTCCCATTTTGAAGGCTCCTTCAAATGCGGTCTAGAAATGCGTCCTCCATCTATCAAGTCCAAGGTATCCACCCGATGGATCCTTCGCTGCCCAACATATCCCAAGATTCATTGCACAGAGGTCAAGTGTGTGTATCCCGGCTAGACTATAAGAGGGGCGCTTCGTCACTCCTGGGGATGGGCAGGAAGAGCTGGTGATGGCCAGACCGTCCCATTTGACAATGCTTTCTTTTTGACTATCGAAGAACGCAGCCTACAAAGGTTATGCCTTCCTAGACCTCTTCCTTTGAAGCATGCAGTCCCAGACACAGCTAATGAAGGCTAGACAAGAAAGAGGTGCAGGCCATTGACAATTAACCAAACACTGGAGACACAGGTGAGGGTCATAATCACCAATACTACAGACTCAAACACTAAGAAAGCAATGCACTAGGAGATAGTAGGAACTGGGATTACAGAACATTACTACAAAACTAGGAACAGTGAATGTAAGACATCAGTGAAAACTAACAGGCACAAATAAGAAGCAACAAAAATAATGTGAACACAGAACTAACAATTTAAAACTTAAATTGCCCAACAAGTCTAAAGCTTGCCTCTACTCAGCCTCAAACTCAAGATGGTATGGTTCTCAGTAAGGGAACACACTAGGGATGGTGAAAGGATCTAAACACAGAGGGAATGGGATGGCCAGTGACCCCTGCTGGTTAAGAAGGACACGAACAGAGCAAGAAAGTACCCTAGGTCTTTGTTATTTAGTATTAAAATCACAAATAGGACACTATAAAATAAAGGTAACTATTACTACACTGAGCAAACTGAATATTTGCTTGTAGTTCTCATCCTGGCATCAGTTGTTTTTTGCCTAAAGCGCTCTTCTGCTTTTTTTTTCCACCTGAAGTGTTCTTTCAAGAATTGTGTTGCTAAATATTTGTTATGAACATGTTGCATCTTGAAAGTAACAATTTTTCGTGATGGTTTTCCTAACCAAACGAAACAGCGCGTGTTTATAAAGTAAAGAAGTTAAATATCCTCCTGAGACCCAAGGAAAAAAACTGTCCTTCAGTTTTAGGTTATTTGTCTTTGAAGGAAATAAGACATCTTACAATTTAGATTTTTTTCAATTTTTTTTTTATTTTTAATTTCACAGCATGTCCTCTTTAGTGTACAACAGGAATAAATACGTTTCCTTACATCAGTGAAAAGATAGATGCAAAAACAAAATGGACATAAATGAATGGGTGGGTTCTCAGGAGGATATATACCAGTCACTGGCCTTAAACGTCTTTAAACTGACAATGCGGTAGAATGTCCTCATTTCAAGTTCTTGGGGATTGTTTTATAATCACCACCTTGTGAAGGTCAACAAAAAAATCATTTACAATAAAAATGGAGGTCCATGTATTTCTTTGTCCTCTACAAATAGCTGTAGACAGCAGGTCTGTGGAGTGATTTCAAGACTGTGGCAACTCAGTAATCAGATGTGACAGCTCCTGTGAGCTGTACAGTGTCATAATTGAAATTTTCTGAAAGTTAGCATAGGTTTCTGTACTGCTATTTGTTAAGATGTCTAACTGGGTAGAGTATAGTCAACACCAATTCAATCTGCCTGTTGCTTGATTGATTAACCAAATCTATGTGTTTTGGCCATTGCGTAACAATTGAAGGTGTATTTAATAGCCCCTCTCCAATGACTGGCAAATCCCCAAGCCATTTTGAGTTTATGAGTTCAGGGCAAGCATTCAGGTTTGACTCTGTAACTGACATCCCCATGGAGATGTCATACTGATTGATGTCTGTGCCGTCCATGTCGACAAGGAATCTCTGGATCTCCTACCATTGAAGGGGGTGCAGTCTCAGAGTAGATTGGCACAGTTCCAGATGGATATGGGTGAATTCATGTGCATACAGAAGAAGCCTCAGATATAATATTTGAAATGCACAGCACTGTGACTGGCAGATTAATGTAGATGTAATTAGGCTGTAGAGAGTAGCATAGTGATTCAAGACCCATATTTGTATTAAAACTGAAACTAAATTAAGTTTCTAGATGTGGCCTACTGCAGTACGTGCAGAACAAATCAGGCATGATTTATTGCTTTTATACAATCTCCCGCTTCAAAGATGGGTCATGTGGATTATTGTAAATTTTGCAGGCTATGAACCTGTTGTAGCGAAAATAACAGCATGGTATACTATAGTTATTTGAAACTACTGCAGGAGATAAAGAAGATGAGGAAGATGGAATAGAAAGGGAAAATATCCATGGAGATAATCTAAGGCATATCAAGGGAGACCAGCCAGGAAAATCTGTCTGGAACATTCTGCAGGTGTTGAGGAATAGATAGGCTCTTCAGCAGCAGAGCAGGGTCAGTCAGATCAGCATAGCGATGTTTTCAGGATGTGGCAACCATTAAAAGATCATAAAAATTAAATGATTTTCCGGGGATATGGTTTGGGAGCAGTTAAGAATAATGACTCAGATGTCAATTCAGGTAATTTTGCTAGTCAGAAGAATGTTTGACTTTCCACATAATACTTAATTTTCCTTAATATTTGTATTAGATTTTACCTTTGATATGGTGTTAACATTGCATTTTAATAATTGTCCTTTAACTCACATCAATGTGTTTCTATTAGAGAACGTGTTGGATATTTCTAGAATAAATTAATTGAAAACAGAAGTGTGAATTTCTAGTATGTGCTTAGTTCCCAGACAGTACACTATTTCTACAGCCAATCAAATGTCTTACGTGGGACATTTCTGCATGGATTCCTTTATCCTCCATCTACAGCTTAATTTTTTCTCCACTTGAAGACCTTGGTTGTTTGGACCGCCACAACATTTCCCTTGTGCTATAGCACAGCCACTAGGTGAAACTAGCTCAATAGTCTATGCAGGCAGTGATATTTTACTTGGAAAGGAAACGCTGTTTATTCTTGGTCCATTTCACTGACGCCATATTTTTTTGGTAAATGGGCCCAAACCTTTATAAGGATCTCATACATCTCAGGCCTCTTATTTAAATGTAAGAGAGGATGAAGATGTTGAGTGAAGCAGTGAGAAGACACAAGATTCCATGCACTTTCTCCCACACGTTAGATTTGAATGGGATGCTGAGAGCTTGGAGGCAGACAGGGACACCAGGAGGGTGTGGTTTTGATTCCCAAATGCACCATGTATTTATTGAACCTTAACATGCTGCAAATTTCCTCAAATGACAATGTGGGTCACAAACCTCCATCTACTTCTTCTGTACGTTTGCATGAAGCCTGGAGCCTCTCCCCAGCAGCAGTATTTACCACCACTCCTTTGTGTGGGGCCCCCAGAGTTTGGGCCCCCCCCATTGGCTACAAATAGTCACTACACTAAATATTAAATTACATGCCTTATTTAGATTATACTGAAGCAGCGTGTTCTGCTAGCCAGCAAGCTAGCTACAATCTTCTTACTCTTCTTCTTCAATCTTCTTACTTTTTGAATATGGCCCCAGAAAGCTCCGTGATACACAGTCCCATGGGACTGCAGGACTGTGTAACATGGAGGAGACATGCAAACATCTCCAAACATCATCTCACCATCATATTAAATATATGACTATATTAATATATTAATGGGTTCTTTGTGTTTATGCATATCAACACATCAAGAGCCAGAGAGTGACATAATTAAGATTACAAAAAAACACAAAACCATTCTTCAGTAAAGCCAAATTTACACCAAATTGAGGCCTACTCACACTTCACTAAAGCAAATATTTTGGCTTTAATATTTTGGCCATCATTCGAAGTAAACACGATAATTTCCCACACATTTTCTATGTTTTGTTCTATCTGCCACGGGGAATAAAACCGGTATTCATGTTTTAGGTGGCCACAAAACGCTTTTTCAACGATGAACAGCTGTGGCGTAAATTTTGTGAGATAATATGCTGAACGCGACAGAAATACACTGCACCTAAGTAGTATGCGCAATTACAAGCGGTATAGTGGTCCCTTGCGGCCAAGAGGTGTCAGACTTAAATATAAAGAAGAAAATGAGCGCTTTACTAACCTTTTCTCAGCTTCAATAACAGAAATATTCTCCACGTAGCACGTACCTTATTCCTTAAATGTAAAATTTTGCGTTAGTTATCAAATTCGTGTTTCCTAAAAAAACTATTGTTGCAAAAATAAATATTTCTGAATGTTAATGAATGACTTGTGAATTCTGGATGTAAAGGTTAGAGCCTTTTGCTATTTTTTCCCTCTTTTAATTGTCAATCTCGCCATGTATTTCCGAGGATATTTAAGTCAACTAAATTTTGATAAGATTAAATTTATAGCATTAATTAATTATAAGGTGCCCCCTAAGCAATTTTGTTTTAATTATAATTAATTCGATGTCCTACATTCTAGTCTTCCTGCATCATTAACTCCGTAATGGTCAAGGACAACTGCATATAAATTACGAAGAGGCAAATTAAATCAATATGCTACATGCAGAATCCATTCCTACTTCCATGGTCCAGGTTTTCCTGGAAATAATAGGAACTTACTTGAAATTGAAGCCTACAAAAAACTACTGTTGTGCGGATTTTATTACTCGGTTTGCCGTTGAAATGTGGAAAAACCAAAGCCTACAATGAAAATCATGACCTGGAAATTCCATAAGAGAAAGTTGCATTTGGGTTCACGGCAATATTGATATTACCCTCGTGTGTGATTTAGGAAAGCAGACATTTTTAGCCCTGGATTTTTTAACAGGGAACACGGAGTCCTGGGAATGCCCGTTTTGCGGACTGTTCATTGAATGCATATGTGCGGCTGCGGTCGTGGAGCTCTCCCTCCTGGGCATGCGCGGTACATGTACAGGCGTTTAAAAGTTGGGGCAAAGATCTTTCAGCTTTAACTTAAGAATTCTTTCTTCGCAGACAACTTTTCGTGCCATTAGGCTGGACGATGATATCAGTGGTGCTGGCGACGGCGCTCGCCGGATTTGCGGCCGCCCTGGTCTTCCAGAGGATGTTTTACCCCTTCTTTTGGGATGATTTGATTTATTACCTAAAAGTTCGGCAAGTTGGAGGACTGATGAGGTTAAGGATGAAGAATGGTGTTGTCACTTTCATCGACTGCTTTGTTCACCAGGCGAGGAAAATCCCCGATAAACCCTTCATCCTTTATGAGGGTCAGGTTTTAACATATCGGGAGGTAGACATAAGAAGCAACAAAGTGGCACAGGTATTCAGGGAATATAGTGGTTTGAAAAAAGGAGACATCGTCGCGCTCCTGATGAACAATGAGCCCGATTTCATCTGCGTTTGGTTCGGACTTTCCAAGCTGGGCTGCGAGGTCGCATTTTTGAACTTTAACATCAAATCCAAGTCCATTCTTCATTGCTTCCAGAGCTGCGGTGCAAAAACTCTCATCGTAGGCAGAGGTATTGGAGAAGAGCATGTATGTTGTTCTTCACGCTGGCGTTAAGTGTCCTTGTCGCAACGTTGTTCTTGCATTGTCGTGCGCTGGAGCGGATCAGCGGAGCTACAGCAGAGGCGTGCTACGTGCAGCTCTCTGCCTACATGCGGGGGTGTCTGTGGTGCGCACGCGCGGGTCTTTAAATTTAGAACCGCGTGATATTACTTTGACATGTGTATGAACATGCGTGATGGCGTAAGACAATTTAAAAAATGTGATAAGTACTCTGGAAAGTTTACGGGCGGAGTGTTATTGACTGTTCTCTCGAAACTAGGGCTGCTTCTTTTTTAAATAATAGGCTAACTGCTAAGTAGTAGACAAAATTAGTCATTATAATGTATCTATATCAGAGCTGACAGCATAAAAATAACTTGCAAAAAACAAAGTATGAATTCTTATAAAATATCCATTGAAACAAAATAACATGATTATACAGAATTCTATAGAATTTAATGACCATACCAGCTAATTTCGTTGTCCAGGCAACTGTACAATGACAATAAAAAGTCTTGAAGTCTTACATTTAGCTGTATTGAAGATTATTACCTGCAGTGTCTGCACAATGCACATCTGATTGTGGGTCTGAATCTGTCACTTAATGTGCAGTATTCCATGTGCATGGCAAAATGACTATATGCCATTAAGGAAATGTATCAGTTAAAGGGGCCTCGGTGCTAAAGGGGTTACAAAGGATCCATTGAGTCTATCACTGTACCATTCTCTATTGTGTAGTGCATGCATGCTATAAAATATCATATCTGGGAGCTCACGGTGCATTGTGGGATGGGTTGTGGCTTCAGGTGGTTTGTGGCTGCTGTTTCATCATGGTGTTTCTCTTGGCTGGGGATAATACTTGCTGGCACAAGCCTGGGTGCATTATTTTCAGTATCATGATTCTTAAACTTAACTCAGTCCTGGATAAGCTTCCATTTCCCATGGCAAGTTTACTTTGGGATTCTGGCCAACGACATTAAAGCAGGATTTTGTGCATTGGTAAATAACCGTACTGCATTTTGTATGGCCTGCTGAAAAATGCTGGGTGTGTATAGTTCACACTGCACTAATCCTGCTGTGCTCTAAATGGCTTTAATCATAAATGTCTATAAGCATTTTCTTTCTGAATGTATTCATTAAAATATGTTAAGATTAAAACCACAAATTGCTGAAAGCAAGGACAGAAAAAATAAAGGTAAACCAGTTCATTTTGCAGTAGTCAGGGTTTTTTTTTTTTAATAAATGTATTCAGTGGCCACCAGGGGGAACCTTTTGCAGAAATGAAATGTGGCTTCTTCCGTTACTGAATTATTTATAAAAGCACCATGTAGCTGTGAAGTGTAAAAACTCAATTCAGAAATGCAGCAGTAATAGAGTAATAAACACGATTACCATGAGAGCCTGAGACAAAGGAGCTTAAAAATTATTTGCATATCTATCCGTAGATTATTACCTTGAATGTAACAATGTAGATAGATTCAAAGATATAAGAAAAAATATGCAAGGATAAAACGCAAAAAATAGGAAATGTTTTAACTGATGTTACATAAGTCTTGCGAAGTTTAACTCATATTTTATTCTAGAAAGCGAGGGAGACGGTAATAATTATTGAAGCAACCCAGAGAGGAAGGCGTGCCTAAGACCTTTTGAGTCAGTGAGCAGAGCATCCTGGGAGATTCAGTCTGCCAAAATCATTAGCATGGAAATATCTAAATGATGAATTAGTGAAGCAGTACCCTGACAGCCTTAGGGCTGATTTTGTGCCTTTAAATTGAAAAGCAGCATTGCAGGCAATTTGTCTATTAGAATTATTAAGATTAAATAATTAGGGAATAACAAGGGTGCAATACAGACTCATAATAAAACTGAGTCAACCCTGGACTGCTTATCCTTCCCGGCTGTATTCATGAAGCAAGCTTGGGGAAATTCTGTAGCTTTGACCTTGTCTATCTCAGTCCCGTTGGGACAGGAGCAGGAAACAGCCATTGTACACAGGCTGTCTGCCCCTTTCAGGCATGTAGGAAGAATACTGAGTTTGGAGAATCCGTCACATTGAATCAGGTCATGTTGAAACAGGCTTTTTTCTCTCTCACCTGTCTGTCTGGTTTTGACTTAGCTGACTGTTCATGGCGCAAAGAGGAAATTGCTTTCTGAAAATCTCGTTGCGGCTGCGTACGCTAATGTTTTTAAAAAAGTTCAACAATAAATTATTATGTGCTGTGTTCTATCTTCCCCCCAGACTTGGTCATGTCCCTGGAGGAATTGCTGCCCTCTTTACAGAGCAGTGGGGTTGACTTGTGGGTTGCAGACGCCAGCTCGCCTTGCCCGGGCGTGAACACTTTACTGGACAAGCTGGAATGCGCTTCAGGCGAGCCACTTCCCGTAAGGGGGTTTCCTCCCGCTGACATCATGTCCAACTTCCTGTTCATCTTTACCTCAGGAACTACAGGTATACAGTTTATGCTTTTTCTGGGTGGGTTTTAGGTAGGCGCTGTGATCTGCTGCAAGGGACCTTTCAGTCAAAACTGTGGCTTTAAAATTGTTTGGGGTTTTCTGGCCGGTAAAATATTTGCACTTGCAAAAGTCATCTTATACCTTTTTTGCCCATAAGATGGATTTAGAATGAATGAATGAATGAAACTTTGTTGTCGTTAAACATTCAGTACAATGAAACAGACTGAAATCCAGGGTTAGGGGGTTATAACTATGACCAGAGCTGGCAATGTTAAATTTTCCATATTAAATTTGCTGATACTCTGTTATCACCTTTAAAATGTTTAAAATACTCCCCCTACAGTGCAGAACTGCTTCCTTGGTTGCTATGATCATACATATTCACATTTGCAATGGAAGCTTTTGTTATCTTTAATGATTGTCTTCACAGTTATTAATTCGAGTTCTCTGTTTGTTACCTTGTGATTCAAACTGTCACTGTCCGTAGGGCATTCACAAGCAAGAGAACTAGCTATTCCTGACTGCCGTGTTCTTGCCTTTGCAATTGCATTATGCTTCATGCTGCTGGTGTGGCTGTGTGCATCATTGCTAGGGGATACAATAGGAAGTGATTATTTGCATCATAAGCAGAATGCATTTTCACCGATGTCTTTATCCATACATATCCACTTCATAAACTCGATGTCCTTCGTCCAAACTGGCTGGAATAAGCAATGTCTAACCTGTACTGGAGGATGGTCTGACTTCATTTTCTTCACTTCACTCCTGTGTGTTTTTTTGGTAACACTTTACTTGACTCAAATACTTAAAGTAACTCAGTTAAAACTGATGAACAAATCACAAACAAAAATAGTAGCTACTTCAGATAAAAGATGTGTCGTGATTCATTAATGATGAACAAATATGAGCACAGTATTTCACTTGTGTTATTCATTACTTGCCCCTTCAGTAGTTACTTAGTAGTTCCTTCACCAGTTCCTTCAGTTGGTGACAAAGGTTTACATAATTAACAGATATAGTAACAAATATAGTAACTGCTTGAGATAAAAGATGTGTCACAATTCGTTAATGATGGACGAACATGTGATCGTTTTTTCACTTGTGCTATTCCTTAGTGGTTCCTTCAGTAGTTCTTTTGTTAGATAATTCAGTAGTTCGCGAAGGCTCACAGAATTAACAGAGACAATAACAAATATAGTAATTGCTTGAGAAAACGTGTCACGATTCGTTTAGGAGGAAAGAACGTGAGATCCGTCTGCAACTAGGACTTAGTTTGAGGTAAATTAATACATAAGTAATCATAGTGCTACATTATTTGTGCCCCTTCAAATAAAGTGTTACCATGTTTTTTACTATGCACTCCCTTCAGCGGTCAACCGCCAATGCACGTGAGGAGTCTGACAACATGGACATATAGAATACGCTTTATTTAATGAAAAGGTTAGCAGGAGCTAAACTACATTTTATGTGCCATGATATACTTTCTTGCTATTCAGATATGCATAAAGTCTTATAATGTTTTTGTAGGTTTTACACACAGAACATTAGTACATAGTACGTTCCATAAATGAACAAATGTTGTTAGATGTGTTGTACAGAACATACAGCGATTGGTGGAAATCAAAAGCACTGCAATAACTGGAGTGTCATGTATCTCCACAGCGTATGAACAGTAGGGTTGCGAAGGGGTGGAACATTTCTGGAAACTTTTCGGAAACTTTCCATTCCATGGGAAGTTGAGCTGGGGAATTTTACAACTCTAATTAACACCGTGGACAGAAATGCTGATGGCTTTTGTTTACCCTGAAATACCTGTGCTGTCTTTCAGGCCTGCCCAAGGCGGTCCGTGTCGGGCACCTCAAAGCCGTCATGTGCCAGTGCTTTCTGAAGATATGCGGGGCCATCGCCAGTGACAATGTGTACATCGCTCTCCCACTGTACCACATGTCGGCCTCCCTGCTGGGAATCGGCGGCTGCATTGAGCTGGGTAGGGGGCTGAAGACAGATGGCGGTCATGCGAGTAGCTCACGTCCCACCGCTCGTGTTGTTTTTGTTTGATCTGGTTAAGACGTCCTTCCACCTGACAGCCATCCAAATTAGGGTCCCTGGTAATGATCCCGGTGATCTAGAGCCTATAACTACAGCATACCTACAGTAGGAGAGGGATTTACGTTTACTTAATTAACAGACACCTTTATCCAAAGTAACATAGAATTGAGAAAGCAGGTTCTGCCAGCGTCTGGAGCAGTTGGGGTTAAGCCTTGCTGACGGGCCCAACAGCTGCGTGGCACGACAACATGGATGGACCCATGAAAAGTTCTACCAAATGGGGCACCTTCCTTCTCCGGACCAAAGTTACCATTATCCACGCTCACAAGCCCCTTTCTCTCCCCCATGGTCGGGCCTACCCAGTGTGAAATCCCTCTGCTGAGAATGGGATTTGAAACGGCAACCTTCTGATCACAGGCACAGGGTCGTAACTCACGAGCCACACACCACCCAAAACAAAAGGGATGCCCATGACTCACATATACTGTGCATCAATTGCCAGCAGTTTTCAAACACCAATAAATCTAGTCTTTGTACCAATTGCCCAGGCAAACAGCATTTGGCCCATTTCATTCCAGAACCTTGTTTTTGCCTCAGGAGCCGCATGTGTTTTGAAAAAGAAGTTCTCTGCAAGCCAGTTTTGGAAGGACTGTCAGCAGTACCATGTGACTGTGTTTCAGTACATCGGGGAGCTGTGTCGCTATCTCGTTACCCAGCCCAAGGTAAGTCGGCTCCTCACGTTGGCGCCACGCGTGAAGCTGCCCGCCCCCCTGTCATTAAGAGCTGTCAGTTAAAAATAAACAGTGAGACCTTCTAAGGGGCCATTAATGGCCCTTTTTCAGAGTGGATAATGGCGGCCACTCATGCAAGAGGCAGCTTTGGAAAAGCCTGGCAAATCGAGTAGTTTATTTAATCTCGCAATTAATTTAATATGGCGGGATTACAGATGGTTTCCACATGGTGCCCTTGTGCTTTAGTCTTATAAAGGCCACTTGTTGCAGCGCCACCATGTGGTTTGGTATAATATAACTATTACAGTTACAGTTAATTATAAATAAAGGCAAGGGTGAGTTTGTTGGTTTGTTGTTTCTGGGGTCTCACTCAAAAAGTAATTTCGAGAACCCCCCCCCCCCCCAAGACGTTTAAAAAATAAAATAAATAGCTAGTGAGTCAAGTCAGAGGATTGTGGCTAGTTAGCTGGTCAGCAAAACATGCTGCGTTAGCACCCCCTAGATAATGAATGCATTTGTTTAATTTTCAGTGTAGTGACTGCTGGTGAATGGCAGTGAACACTACTGCGGCAGAAAGGCGAAGCCTCTTTCACTGCTTAGTCTCACTGGATTTTAGTGTGAATCATCACGTCAATCTTGGGCG